TTTGATTTATTGTATATTTGAGTTTGGGCCAACAAATTTAGTAAACAGAATTTTTACATAACCCTGCAATAATAATAAAATTTAAATGTGTGTATAGCGTGTTTTTATGTAGTAGCATCTGGTGGAAATACTATTACACAATTAGTTCATGGCCATAGCTGGCTGTTCTAAAAATAATAAACTAAAAAAAAAACTAAAAATAATAAATTTGATATTAGGAATATTCCTAGGAGGATAACAGGCATGTGTGCTGCTTGTATCCTCCCTAAGGAAAGGATGCAAGGAGTAATATATATGTAGTTTTCAACTCTCAGTTCAAATTATAGCAAAATCATAGTGTCATCTTTTTAAAATCTAGTATTTTATCCAGATTGCAAAATGTAGGTTAGAGTTTTTTTCTTTCGTCATCTCGGGGCTTTGGGAATTATATATAACAAATTTTGACTGGAAAAACTCTGGGGAGAAGGAAAGGATAACATAAAAAAGGAGCCAGATTGAGAGAAAATAAAATTTGGAAGTAGTCTGCCATAGTGAAGTTTAGAATCTTCATAATGATATTTGTTTAGAAAAGGCTTTTCAAAACTTTTCGCATAGTATAAAATTTTTGAAAACCATTACTGATTTTAAATAGTTACGAAATCAAAAAATTTTTGTAACGTAACTAATTTTCATTATAGCTTTCACTTTAACATCATTTGAAAAGTAGTAGTATCAAAATAATGTTTTTTAATTGTATAATTACATTTCTAATAACCTTGTTGTACTCAAAACTGGGATACCCTGCAGCTTTTTCCCAAAAGAAACATATATATCTTTTAGGCAAATCCACATTAACAAATTGATGTGTTAATTCACCTGTGGTTGAAGGGTTGGTAGGCAGTTACTTATAAAGGCCTCCGTTCCTTGTTAACAGGCAGCTGGCCTTTTTTGAACTGTGCTAAAACATTCCATTATATTAAAAAAATTGAAATTCATTAAATATATAAAACGTAAATAAAAATAATGATTATATATGGAAAAATTAGTATTTTTTTCATAAAGTGGAAGCCTTCAAAGTATATTCACTTCATTCTAAAAATAATTAGAAATTCGCAGACTTCAAATTTTTGAACTATAATTTCATTCTTAAAATAATTAAAAAATTCAGAATATTAATTCAAAGGTATTTAAACAATAATGCAAAAATATATCAATCATGTTAATAACCTTCTCTAAATAAAATCTTAATTACTTAATTTGTTAAACTAAATTAGCAAACTCCGAATTTCTAATACCATAAAACTTCTGATATTTTCATAAAATAGTGCAACTTTTTGTAAAGTTCATTGTAGCAAGAAAAATATTACATACATAATTCAAAATTATAAGAATTAATGAATTTATGGAATGAAATAGAAATGAAAAAAAATGAAGAAACAAAAAGAATAGAAATGGGGAAAAAATCATTAATATCAAAATAATGAAATCAAGTGTACTCATAAAGTTTATAAATGCAAAACCATTTAAAGAAAATACTGAAATATAGTTTTAATTTCATCAACAATGATTTTTTATGTTTTTCCAAAGAGGAAAATCAAAATTTAAACAAAAATACTTGATATGAACTTTAATGTCCATAGCGTATTTCCCAATTCTGTATCGCTGAAGTAATTGTAATTTCACCCACTGATGTTGAAGGGAAATATAGAGATGTATTCCTCTGTTAACCATAAACCAAAATGGGAAATATAAAGTGGATGAACATCACTTTGAGCAGGCAAGTGAAATCACTTTCGTGTAAACCCCAATGACCTTGAAATCAACGTTAATTCTTTATCTCTTGAAACATTAAATCACTGATTATTTAGGGAACACTTCTTTTCATTTCTAAAAATTGAAGTGGAGGGTGAAATAACTTGAAACTGACTTCGCTATGAACTGCAAAAATAATTCTGCTTTGCATTTTCACTATATGTTAGAACATTTGGACTTGCAGAAAAAGGGCACATTTATTTGAATTTTGTAGATACGTTATTAAAATCCAATTGGGGTCAAGACAGTATCCTGTTGACTAAATTATGATTCAGTGTAGATGACTTGTTTATTCCCAGCTGTGTACATAAAAATGACAGAGCCACATAGGTATCTTGAGGACTAACAGATATATGTGATGACATGAAAACACAGGAAAACATTAGCAAATGTGGTATGAATTCGTATGTAGCTTTGTTTTTGTAATAAAACAGATTGATTTCAATATTATGGGTGTTCTATTCACCCGCATGATTTTGAAAGCTTACATCTTTTTTAGACGAGGAAAACCATATGTAAACTAGCAGAAGGAAGGCAAATCAGGGAAGAAGGGAAAACAGACTGTTAAATTAGTAGCAATGATGTTTATAGCAAGAATTTTCTTTAATCTGATTGGTTGAGAACTATATGCAGTGCAGAAGCTTAAGATGACATAATGCAGAATTAATTTCGGGTAGGGTGCAGTTTTGAAAAGTTATTGCTATTTTTTAGATTTGAGAATTAAAAAGATATTGCTAATTTAAAGTGTAATTTATCATTATGTAATTTTGTCTTACATATATAAAGTTTAGCCCGTGTATGTTGTATATGTATTGATTCTGAACTTTTTCCCTACAGTACAATTTATGAATCTTGAAACATATCTGTGAACAAACTGTAAAAATCAGTTCTCTTAGTTTTAATCACATTCTATTTTTATAGCTGTATTAAATGTAATGAAACATATAATGTAAACAATAACACAGGGGTTGAATCTAGAATAAAAAGTAGCAGATCATATTCTTGAATAAATTAACCTGAGTTTATATGAAAAATAGTTTGCTTCCTTGACCTACAAGATAGCATTATAAAAGTACTGTAGCTATTAGCGTACTACTTTCATATACTGTAGCTTTGTTGATAGGAAAAATACTTCTACAAATTGCAACAACAGATATTTTGGTTATTGAAGTTTTATCCACTGGTAATATCTGTATCAGGAATATGCATTTCACTGAAACTAGAGTGTAAAAAAGGGCTAACATGTGTTTTCCATGGAAATATCTGTAGTTAGTCCTGAAATAGACTTTTTTTTTAGAGTGTTATTTTATAGCACAGCATAAAAGCATAAAAAAATTAAAAAAATTACAGGTTTCTTTGAAAATAGAAAAGGTGTGTTTTTATACCAGAAACCAAGGTTATATGCAAAATTTCTACCTTACAGTTAAAGCAAGAGCTATATGTTTGACTTATGCCACTCTCTACCATATTCACTTAAGTCCTTACCTTGCTTTTATTTTCACAGCCATTAATTATAAATTTTTTAAATTAATTATTTTAATTAATTTTCATTTTGTTTTTGGCGAAATCTAACTTCATTCCTCTGGTCTGTGTAGGATTTAGAAAAATTTTGTACTCCTCATAAAATATAAAACACAAAACATTTGACTATGTTTGGTATGGAAACAAATGCCAAAAGAATTTTCATGTTTTTTGTTAAATATGTTATTCTAAAGTAAAATAGAAATGACTTCATGAGAAACTTCATGAGAAAAAATATGTTCTCATGAAGTTTTTTACATTAAAATCATAATCTGGTAAAAATCCTAAAAACTTATTAAACTACAAATATTTTTCAGTTGTATTCGTTTTAATAATATTACGAGTTGGCTGCATGCCTATACTGAAGCCTTCCAGTATTTTGAAATTCTACCAGTAAGATCTCCAAATGAGAAAAATTTTATTGATCATTATTTTTCACAATTATCTCTGTAGAAATTTTAATCACTTATTCTCTGTACATCAGAAACCATACTCTAAGCTGATATTTTTTTTTTTAGATACATTCACATACAAACATTTTGCTCTTCAATCTTTGTATGCCACGTATATATGATCCCCTACTTTAATGCCAAATACCTTAATTTGTCATATGTGAATCAAACATTTTTGTGTTTTATATTTTATACTGTGTACAAAATTTTCTAATATATAAGTATAGTGACTGGAAGAATGTATAAAAAGTTGCATTTCTTAATTTTTGCAAAATTCATTTCTTTAAGGTAAAAATTGCAATATGTAAAACTTTTTAATCATTTAAAACATTTTTGTAGTTAGAAATGTATGTCTGTGACCTGTGGTTGAGAAAATAGAGGCTGAGTAAGGACTTCTGTGGACACTATGTATAATTACATAAGAATGCCATCCTCTAGCCAAGTGGATTGGACTGTTAGAATTTTATTAGTATCAGGTTATTTCTGGGGAAGAAACAAACTGACTACGTATTGGAAATCCACTATCTCTCAGAAATGAGCTGCTTTCAGAAAGTCCTCTTCAAAGGTGGTTTTCCTAATAAAAGTAGCCTTGTAAGTGTTTTGCCATAATCTGTGTAGGTAAAAATTCTTTTAGTTAAAACATAATACAAATCTGTAGAGGGTTAGAGCTCTTAACACTTGATCAGTGGAAATAATTCATATGATAAAATTCTTCTTTTGTTGTATATTTGTTTTAAATTTATAAATCACTACACCTGTTATCCAAATTTTTCTACTAGTTGTAAACAAAGAACCCTAGTTCAAAAATTTTTTTGGTTAAATGTTCTCCTATTTTATAAAAATTGAAAGGTAAGTTGATAATGTATATTTTGATCGAGAAAATTTTGTTGAGCGATGTTCAGCGATAGTGTCATACAATTATTTGATAGGGATGGATAGTATAAGCATTAGATGCTGATGAAATTGATAATTTGAGTTTGAGAAGATGATAAATACAGCATAATTATACATACTCAAATAAAAAATACAGCAAAACTAGCTTTTTATTTCTCCATTGCTTATTCCTTTTCAAAATGATTTGTGTATTTTGGAGAAAATATACATAGATATATGCAAAATGTGTTTCCATTGCATTATTGTTATAGTTAATTCTAAAGTAATATTTTCTGTGTAAATCTGAGTTACGAGAATTATTCAGAAAATAAAGTACCTCTTTAATTTCTTTGAATTTTTCAGATATTTAATTTAATGAAATTTGATTGCTACCAGAGGTTTCTTAAATCTACGATGTTCAAAGAATGCATGCTGCGAGAAATGCAAGGGCAACCATTGCTATATCCAGGACAAGTTCTTGAATCTGGTAATTCTTGTGAGAGTGATAAACAGAAAGTTTCTGTGGAATTAAAAAAAAGGAAATCTTTGATTCCCTGGCATAAATGTAAGTTGCATATCTTGAATGTGTTTGTATTGAGTTAAATATCTGCTTACCTTTCCATGCACCAAGCCTTTTGGGATCCACATCTAAAACAATGCATTTATACTATTAGTTGATTTATTTATTTATTATTTTTTTCATGTGCTTCGGATCATTTGAAGGATTTCTAGATTAGATTGTCAAAGGAACTAAGAAAACAAAGTGGTATTTTTATGCAATGGGTTAAAGGATGTATTAAGTGATTTATGAAGTCATATTTTTTAACAAGAATTTTTACAAGCTGTTAAATATTGTAAGTACTCTTCCCACACAGATTCTACTTACCTTCATATACTTTCTGCTGTGTCTCTTGTTCTTTTAACTTAGTGTAATGTAAGACTTCATGCTGATGTAAGGTAAGGTTCGTTCACACTAATGGTGCATGAATAGGTATACGTTACCTGAGATCCTACTCATTTCATGTATATTTCCATAAGCAACTGGCGGTCTAGCTTGAAGATATTCATTGGAATCAATGGGGCTTTTGAAGATCATGCTCGTAACGTGTGCCCAGAAGGGAAAATCCATGCACGTCATAGTGACCAGGGGGGGGCAAGAAGTATGTTTATCTTGTTTGATCCATTTGGTACTGCAGCATCTGGATAATTTTTGAAATTTCTGTTGAAGTTAGTTGGCACTGCATAATGTTGGAATTACGTTCATGTGCGTATAGGTGAAGGAACGTCAAAAGTTCTGACAAGATATTTTATAGAAAGATGCTTTATGCATAGCAATTCAAGTGACTAGGCAGCAACTCTACTTTGTAGTTGTGTACTGTACCAGCCAAACATTGCATGCCATGGGGATTATCATGAGCCTAAAGGTGGGAATGATTGGTATTAAACATAACTCATTTTACAAACATACCATTATTATTGAATAAAGATGCATGAAGGAAGTTCTGAATTTGTTGCAGCTAGGTGTAGGTACCAGCAGGCAAAATTAACACATAGATGATAACTGTTCAGTTTCAGTGGCTATACTCATTGTAAATTATGTGGATATCTTTCTTTCTCATTTAATTCCAAATGGTTAGTTGGTAGCAGAATTAATCCCAAACGTATTTATTGTGTACATCTCCTGAAATGTTTTTTCTGTGTGTTTCCCTGCACACATCACAGGTACAAGCACAAAATGTCCACTCTCGTGCAGTTTCCAGTTAATGTGCACCAGCATGTAGTTGGCAGTTTGGCAGCTGTTTACTTTTTACTCATTTTCAGTATATACTTTGAGTAGCTGCTCCAGCTGCAGCCCCTCAGATAAAATGCATGTTGCCATACTCCACTTTCATTTAATAAAGGATATTGCTTGAAATCTGCATTTTTATGCTACCAGATTATTTTAGTCTTCGGATTTCTAGTTGCCACCATCTCAATGCACCATGCTCAGTGCACCTGCTTATTTTGACATTCTGTACTTGGGTTTATACTTATGTTAAATAGTTTAGATATCGTCCATATGTAAGATAAGCATAAAACTTTCATTATAAGTAACATCAAAAGACTGCACTGTCTTTTATAGGGCAATAATTTGAGTACTTTCTTGACTTATAAGTCTGTTAAGATATAACACGCCGAACAAGTATTAATTTAGAAGTCAAACAACAAAAATCAGCATTATGTTTTCAAATTTTCACAGGTCTAGTTTCACTGGTTTTACTGAACCATCATCCTCAGCTGCAAAATTGCTAATAAACGAGATAGGATATAGTGATTAGATAAGATAAAAAAGGGGAAAAAAAGGAAACGGGAAAAAGGGAGAAAGAAGGAAACCAGAAGCTTTCGGTTGCCCAACATTGTTGGTCTGAAAATCACACTTTCAATTTTTCTGCAGTCAAAATTATTCAAAAAACATCTTCCATTGGTGAATTAGATTTTCTAGAGGCACTTCACATTCAACAAAATCTTTCTGTTCTAGTTAACGACCCTAATTCCAGTCCATCTTTGCCTTCACCCTTTAAGGAAATTATGTTTTAGTTCGCGTTTCATCAACAGATGGCACCAGTCGCTTAACTCCTGTCCACAGTCTTTCTTAACTTATCACTATATCATATCTCGGTCATTTGTGCTTTTGCAGCTGAGGATGATAGTTCTGCAAAACCATCGAAACTAGTCCTGTGAAAATTTGAAAACATAATGCTGATTGTGATTGTTTGACTTCTAATTTATAAGTCTGTCTAAAGAAAATAATTCCCGTAGCACAACAGATCCTGAGAGAAAGTTTGTGCTCCATTATTAAAACTTTCCTTTTTGTTAGCCTTTTTTTTTTTTTTTTTAAATCCTATGGGAATTAAGTAGTTATTTTAAACTTACAAGCCTTCCTTTTTTGAGGTTATAGAATAAACTATTTTCTTCTTCAAATCTGTTTAAAGTTCAGGTAGGTGTAGTTTGCAGTTTTGTTGAATTGAGGAAGCACTGAAATTACTAGGAAATGAAGCAGCGTGCATAAAACTGCAAATGCTTTTGTTCCTTAAGAAGTGCATAATGTTAGTAAAAATTAAATGCTAAATTAATATATGTAAGAAATTGACAATATCTTTATTTTTTAATGCAGTTCTGTTTTGGGAGTTTTACGAAATTTTACGATTATGCAAAATTTTCTCAGAGATTGTTATTGAAGATTAAAAGCTCCACAATCGATGATTTTAAAATTATTTATAGAATATTAGCAACTAATTGCTTACTCTTATGTATTTATTGATGTGCAAATTCATGTATATATATATATATATATATATATACAGTACAAAGTCTGTAATTCGGACGTCCATTATCCGGAATGATTTATTATCCGGACCTCAAAGCCACAAACTTTTTTTTGTATGCTTTACGCATGCGTGTAATACGTTTATGCATGCAAGTTTAATGTTAAGCATGTGGGTTTAATGTTTATGCATGCTTGTTTAGCACAAAAAACGAAGCAACTTAAACAACTTACACTTAAAGAAATGTTTAATAAAGTAAACAAATAAATATTAAGCTTTTTTTTTTGTAAATTTTGATACCCTTTAGATCATAATTGCTCTTTATTTCATAAATTTCATATTTTTAATTGTATAATTTCTGCATCCCATCTTACTAGATTAAAATTGATGATCTATAATCCGGAAAAACCCTTAATCCAGAATCGCGGAAGTCCCGACGAGTCCGGATTACGGACTTTGTACTGTATATAGATATTTTTTTGAAAGAACCTGAATCTAAGGTTTGAAGACCTTTGCTGTTAGATAATTGAAGAGGGATCCAGTTGTTGCCATCCAAAAGCTACAAGTAGAGCTTCCATGTTTCGTATTGTGAAGAAACAAAATTTTGGCAAACAGTAATATTTCTGGATTGAATAGCGAAGTTTCCTCAAAGTCTGATAAAATGCTGGGATGCTTATTGTTGCCTTTTGCAGCATCAAGTTCTATTCTAAAATGCAGTTTCTGTAACCTCACAAGTTAAGATCACATGGCCACTCCAGCAGCTGCTGCTTGGATTCAGGAGTTATGAGAGATTCTCCATGTATCATCCTCTAGGGTGATGTGTACCAACAGCTCAGAAGATATTACCAAATAAATGGTTGTTTTTAAAAAATATCCTATGTATTTGAAATTGTGAGGTAATATAATTATTTAAGAGGCAGCAAATCTCATGATGTTAATGCTTAAAAGTGATAAAACTGGTTATACCAAACTTGCATATTTCCAAAATTTCATAAAAAGTTAGTTTTTAAGTACATTATTTTTGAAATATTGTGACCATTAGTGGAACAACAACTCATCTAAATAACTGGATTATTTTTATTTCTGTAAGCCAAGTAAGAGCTCTTAGTTTAAATTGTTGTATTTCATTAAAAAAGTATTATACAATAAGTACTTGCATATTATCCCCTCGACTATAAAACTGTTAGCAAGCAGTATGATTTAGTGCCAGTTATGAATAAGTGTGACATCATAGCTCACTTACATCTGCCTTTTCATTTGAGGTTCATCCCGATTAATTCTCGATATGCCACATAGAATCGAATTTGTGACTACACTTTGGTTCATTTACAGGTGCTTGAACTTCCATTCATTTACTGCCAGTTGAGAGAATTAACATCTGTTGATTGAGCAAAAGAGCAGCTGGGTATGGCCTCCAAAATAGGAATCACCTTCAGGAAGTTTATGCTGTTAATACTATAAATATAGTTTTCAGTAAAACTGAAGAACCTAACAAAGCATTAGAAATCAATGATGACTTTTTGCAAAGTGGGAAACAGAAAGTGGGTTGAGTTCTTTAGCAGTGGTGTGCAGTGGTGGATTGTGCAAGGAATGTTATTGTAAGAGTTGCAATATGAAGTGCAGCTCAGAATTCTGCAGTAATGATTTCTGCAACTTTGGTAGGATCTTGGCCAAGTTTAATGGCTTAATTGTGATAATACATAAGTAAAAAAAAATTTTTTTTCACTTTGGAAAATCAATGTATGACATGCTCATTTACTGAAAAACACTAGGCAATGAAATTGTTTTTTTTCCCTTAACATACAGCATATTTCATTTGAGCTAAAGGTTGAAATTCATTTCCATTTCTGTGGGTTCTGAAATCAATGAGAAGTCTTATTACCTGTATTATAAAAAGCAAAGTGTGTAATCTATTTCTGTTCAATTTAATTTAGAAAAGACTTTTTTTCAATAGCTGTATATGCAGAGTACAATTCCTTTCCTTTTGGTGTTCATAGGCTACATATTTGCTAAACATGTGCCAATAGATATTAATCTAAATTTACTTTAATAGCTCTTAAAAATATTCAGAGCACTTTATTTTACCTTTTATGTTATATAAATGAATAGAAATATATGTAATTGGATTAAGACAGATAAATTAACTATAAAATTAATTCTATTTGGTTTAGAAAGAACATGCAGTTGAGATAAGTTTGCATATCTGGGATTTATGTATGCTGTTACTTGTTGCAGTGTGCAAAAATTTAAATTCTTAACTCAGAAGTGCCTTCCTAATTTTATTAAAAAAAAAAATTTTTTTTTTTCCCCTTTGCGCTAAAAATGTTTTGAATTGAAACCATTCAGCAAATATTTCATGTTTTTCGCTTTTCAAACTTCTAATGCATTTATTGTTGAATTTATATCTTTTTTTTTAGTAAGTAAAACAAAGTCTAATGAATCAAAGAATGGAGGAGGTAGACTTTGGGATAGACACTGTGAAATTCGAAAATCTTTGAAGAAAAAGAAAAAAGAGAAAGAATCTCAGAAATTGGATGATACTAGTTCTACTCAATCAGATATGACAGACAGTAGATCATCATTAACTAGTAGTGAAACTGGTGTTGGAATGCTTTATAAAAATGTATCATCAAGAGAAGTAAGATTCTTTTTCATTTCTTCCTCTTAAAATACAGTACAAAGTCCGTATTCCGGACTCGTTGGGACTTCGGCGATTCCGAATTAAGGATTTTTCTGGATTATAGATCATCAATTTAAATCTGGCAAGATGGCATGCAGAAATTATGCAATTAAAAATATGAAACCGTAATTTATGAAAAAAAAAGAGCAATTATGATCTAAATTGTATTAAAATTTACCAAAAAAAAGCTTAATATTTATTTGTTTACTTTATTAAAGATCATTTTTTGTGCTAAACGCGCATGCGTAAACATTAAACGCGCATGCCTAAACGTATTATACGCATGCTTAAAGCATACAAAAAAAAAAGTTTGTGGCTTTGAGGTCCAGATTATACATCATTCCGGATAATGGATGTCAGGACTACAGACTTTGTACTGTACATCATTCTGTATGTGATATGTTTGTTTCAGAATTATAAAAGGGCAGAAGTGTTCTTTTTTGATTTTGCCTGAATATATGTTTTCTGTTTAATTTGAAGATTGATTTTTTCTTTGAATTACTACCTCAGTTGCACCCTAGTGACATGAATTACTGATTCATAATTTTAATTTGTATTTTTCATATTTCCAGTGATGGAATGTGCCATTTTTAAGATGATTGGTGGATTGATTATTTTTCAAAAATAAGTGCTGTTTTTTAATAGCTTTAATTTGGGGTTATTAAATTGGTTAAATAATGCTGAAAATTGTTTTATGTTTACATGTTTAGTAAACAAAACGGATTTTCCTGTGATGAAAAAGATGCTACTTTTGTATACCAGTGAAATGTAGCATTAATGTAAATAAAGTGATTGCATGATATAAAGAGTTTTTTTTTAAAGTTATGATTAATATCAGAAATTATATTTGTACAATGTAGCAGTAGCATTTTTCTACAAAATGTATTTGTTTTGTTACATAAAAAGATAGTGATAATTTCAGTTTCAAATAGGTTAGGTTAGGTTAGGTTATTAACTACGGCAAAGCTTCGAGGGCTATCTGCCTAAAGGGAGGGGTGCCTTCGTGGAGGACTTCCTAAGGGAAACTGGCTTGTATACACGTTACACATGGGAAAAACCACGAAAACACCCATGCAGCCAGCCCGTTCGCGGGATTCGAACCTCGGACCGAACTACCAGTGTTCAGCGATTTTACCGCTCGGCCGCTGGTGGGCCTCAGTTTCAAATAGAAATTGGTTTTATGCCATTGAGAAAGATTTTTTAAAATAAAGCGAAAGAATTATGGAAGGAGAATGGCAGAACTTGTTTTTCAGCAACGATATCATTCAGTTGGGTTGCTTTGCAGATTTTTCTGCTAGTAGTCTGAATGCAATTTCTTCCAATGGTATTGAGCTATTTTTGAGCTACAAAATGGCATAAAACCTGCTATAGTGCAATATATATAGTAATAGATAATTATTTGTGAAATTTATGTAGCTATTAGTACTTGCATACTTTTCTGTCAACCATTTTTGACTAATGAAAACTAGTGTCGAATTGTAAATTAGTGATAGTAGTGGATAAGAGTGATTGCATGATAACTCGTTATTGAAATCTGCTTGGTTTATGTTTGATGAATCCTTCTTAAAATTCGGTTTTTGTGAAAAAAGGGATTTTAGTTAGCTGCTATTTCTGTTTTACTTTTGCATTGGGGGGGTGAATAAAAAAGCTATTAAAAAGTTTGAGACCTGTCTTCTACAGGACAGCATGTTGTAAAGTATTGTTAAAAAATTATCCTGTTGTTAATTATCCTGTTGTTAAAAAGTGTACTGTATTTGTTGCTAAGAGATTTTTTAGTGTCAAGTATAATTTAAAATCCTTTTCATTAGACTTTTTAAATGTAATTCTTCTGACAGATACATGAGACTCAAGTTAACTAGAACTTTTAAAATTGGAAAAAAAAAAAAAAAATGCAGTTGTACATTGTTGTTAATTTTAATAACTAGTTATTTATACAAGAACATTTCTATAAGAATGATCTAAGTCTGAGAATCTTGAAATTTATCTAATTTGAAATGCAGCATTGCTGTTGCGTAAATGTCAAGCTCATTTCAAAATGGTGTCCTTTTGTCCTACAGATGTCCAATTTTATTGCGAGAGAGATTTTAGTTGCATAATTTTTTTAGTTTTCTGTAATGTAGAGAGTAAATTTAAAATATTTTCACTTTGAAAAGCATCTATGAAAGGCATCTTTCATATGTTAACCCATGTCTGAAATTTTATTATAGATAGTTATACTCACCAAAGCAATTCTTTTGATTTCTATAGCTATTGCGAATTTGTACTGTTTCTATATAGTTAATAATTTTAGGAAAGTTCATTATGGTTTAGCATTTTTTTCTTGAAAATTTTGCATTTCATGCAGGTAATTTGGACCTGCTAAATTATTTTGAAGTTACTGAGATTGAAATATTGTGTGTAGTTGGGTATGTATATATAAATAACAGCATTGTATTATATCACATGTTGTGTTTTTCTTTTAAAGTATGCTGCTTAAATTTGCTTTACTTACAGTCACTAAATTCTGCTGAATTAACTTTGTTTCCGAGTCATTGTGGCTCAGATGGTTATTATTGTCGAGTAATACTGCCAGATCTTTCTACAACTGTTGTGAAAACTCAGAAAGGGGAGACAGTTGGAGAAATGTTGTTAAAACTTCTTGAAAGACGGAGTTTGACATATAATGCTGTAGAAGCCTATGTTGTTGGATCACACCAGGTTTGTATATATCAGATTTATATACAGTTCTGTAAGAAAACAAATAATGATCAGAGAAATGTTTCAAGCAGTAGATAAAATGCCCCACCAGTGTGTGATTTGTGAAATATTTTTTATACTTTAAAATAATTAATACATGGAGAAGTTTTATGTAGTGTTTAAAAATCTGCATTTTTATTTTCATAAACATAGCTTTGCTGTAGATAGATTTATGGTTTGCTGTTTAACTGCTGATATTGTATAATATTTTTGAGTAAAGCACATCAAGAAATTTTTTCATGTAAATGAAATACAATTTTTGAATGCAAGAGATTAGATTTATCTTTTTATTTTTGATGTATAATATCTACAGAAAATAAATTTTTTTTTGAAGATGTAACTTTTTAATTTAGAGGAGAATGGAAACTTGATTAGTCTTGTTTTAGTAGCAAATAATTGATTTTGAATCTCTCTCTCTCTCTCTTTTTTTTTCTTGGTAATGCACAGCCTGATTGGAAATAATCATCATGTTAAAAATAATTGTATTTTGGTATTATGTAGCAAATTATTGATATTCATTTAACGCATATTAAACTGTTTACTTGCTCTAAGATTTAAAAAAAATTAAATAGGTTCAGAGGCTCTCTTCTGCATTTATTTGATGTTTACTGGCTGTTGAAGGTATTATAAATTCATTTGCTTATTTATAATAAATTTAATAAAAAATTTTAATAAAAGGAGAGCATCATTACCAGTAATAACTCTTATGTTTATGATTTACTTCATTTTAAATCGACATAATGGCATGCTTTTTAAGCGACAAATTTTTGTTCTTCATCAATAGAATTGCATATTCTGTAATAATTGAAAGTGTAAAAAAATATTAAGTTATACTCTTTTTATGGAGAAATAATTTTTCTCTTTTCTGCAATTTTTTTCAGAATTCTTAAATCTTATTTGTTTTTAAGAAATGTATCTCAGTTTTATGCTTAAACCTTCTGTGCCTTTTAAGAAAAGTCATTGATATAATTGGTTCCTTCAGATTTAAAACAAATAATAATAAAGTGTAAATTTACAGTTTATTTGTTAACACGTGAGTTGCAAATACAAATATATTTAGAATATTCAGTATAGAATTTCAGGTCACTAAATGCCATAAGTTTGATGTAAAGCTTCATGTTGTAGAAGTTGTGTGGAACAACTGAATTCTGTATTTAAAAATTGTTTGTCATGTTGTAATATAGTAAGAACAGTTGATGCATGCCTCATTTGTTCATTATTTTCATTGTAAAGACATTAGTAATCTAAATTGCATATCTAAAAAAATTTTTTTCTTTAGGATATTAAATATTAACTCAGTTCAAATATATTAAAAATATGCATAGAGTTTGGTTCAAACATGTTACTTGTTGTTATTTCAGGTGCGTTTATGCAGTTAAAATGCTATGCCTGATTGTAGGGAATTAAAGCTTTTTATAACTGTCAAGCTGAAAAGGTTATAGGTTTGATTGATTTCCAGTGAGGGCAGAGTTGATTTTGCTATGTTTTCTCCCGCTGAGATCTCATTATCCTGCAGTAGCACTCAAACTAAACAATATTGATTCAGTGTACCATATGTTGTCACTTGCCCCAAATGGACATCAAGGGAGGGAGAATGTTATGAGTTAAAGGCATTCCTCCTTTGTGTCCTTCTAGTACAACATCAAGACATTCAGCTAGTAGTTTGGGTAATATCAGTTTGGTTACACTTCAGTATTTAGTTTTCTCCTGCTTTCTAAAACTTAATCACTCAACAAAATTAATATATCAGTTGGAAGGAATGCAGAAATTTTGTTTGTGTTAACCTTGATTGAAGAAAGTATATAATGCTGAAGAAATGGTCATACTTTACAAAATATGAATTTTTATCCCAGGTAATATTGCAAATTGCTTGTTATAAACTGGTATATTATGCATTTTCAGTTTTTTAAAGTAGGCAAAATTATAAAGTTATTGAGAAAGATTAAATAGCAAAGGTGAAAGAACTGGGGCTTCATGAATATCTACAGAATGAACACAGGGTTCGTAGCGGTCCTTACAAGTGCTTATAAGTCCTTATATTTGAAAATAAAATATAAAGCCCTTATTTTTTTTGTTTTTAGTGCTTATTTATTTTTAGTGCTTTTTTGCTTATAGTCCTTTGTTTTTAATGAACGCGCATTTTTTCCCCGTACCAAAGCCGAAACTAAATAAACAACTTTTCTTCCTTATAAAATGCAACGTCAGATGGTGAATCATACTCCCGGAAATTGCTTTTCCCCCCTTCCTCTGCATTAACGTAACCTATGGTGCGCGCAAGAGTACAGACAGGTGCACGTTGTTCTATTGGTCAAAGAATTGCGAAAACGGTAGAAAATTCCGTTACATTCGGTATTCTTTTCGTCCCACCCAAATACTACACACGTTTGAATTTCTATCAAGATTTTAATAATTTGCAAACTCGTTCCGCGTGGTCAGTTCATATTCGTGTTTATTATGATTGTTATGCTTATATTATTAGCATATGTATGAATATTTATAATAATATAGTTGCAGTAATTGCTGAAGTACAAAACTACCAAAAATGGGTGTGTTTTTACACAGATTAGCTTTCTAAGGAATAATATTCGGAATGGCTTAAATAAAAGGAAAGTAATCAAATAGTCAAAATAATTTCATTTTCTTTACCAATACATTATACAGTACGGAGGTTGAGAGTTTCTCCGCAAAATCTCTAATATTGAAGCAGCGGAGTTTTTTTTTGATACTGTCCAAGCTGGATTGAATAGGACTAAAAGTTTTTGCAGTCTACCCAACCCAAGCGAAGATTGATTCTATTCCCGAAACTTAATGCAGTCTGTTTAAAATTAGAATCAGAAACTCCCCAGTTAGTAAGTCTCTTTCTTTTCCTTTATTTAGTTCTTTATTCTACGAATACCGGCAGGTGTTGAATCCGATTGCGTAATATCACATATGGAAGAATTATGCCGCACGTATTGCGCAATAACATTTGCGGTATTTTGCATTGATAATTAATTTTGATGTTCAGTCTGAGATTTGTTTATGAACAGTTAAAAGAGTTTTACTGTGCTTTCTAAGCAGAATATTTCTCAGTTCCGTTGGCTTTTATATGATGCACATATCGAAATGTCAAAATCATTTATTTAGCCTAAATTTAAATCTAAAGAACGGCTACAATCTCCTCTTTTTCCAGTTACTATCCGGAATATTAGGGAATTTTCGAGTATGCGGGTTAGTTAAGCTTTTACTGTTAAAGGATGACTGAATGAAGCAATTTCCCCGTCTTCTGATTTCAGAAATGTGCTTATTTTTTACTTAAATTACTTTGCTTAAAATATATGTTAAGGGAAAACTGTTATGCAATGAAAATTTAGAAAATGTTCAGAATTTTGATTTAAGTTAAATTATTTAAATATTAATATGAGGGGAAAAATAAATTGTATTTATTATTAGGTGCCAAACGAATACAGTTAATATGGCTTATTATTATTTATTTTCTACATTTTCAACTGAAATATGATCATTAAATTTTGTAATATAGTTTAGTTCTGCATAGTTTTTTTTTCTCTCATTGTAAACTAATTCTGTAAATTGAACTGTCATTTAAAATTTTTTTTAAAAAAAGTTAATTGTTTTCCATTGTTGAGGTAATGCTCATTCTCGTAATAAATATTGCATTGCTCATATTTTAAATTGCAAGTCTAATTTTTCTTTTAAGGTTATGCAGTTGTGTATAATGTAATTAGACAGGTGCTTATTTTTTCCTTAAAATGTGCTTGAAAAGTGCTTATTTTTTTAAACTAACATGTGGCTATGAACCCTGGAACAGCTCTAATAGTATAAAAAGCCCTCTATGGGTATGCAGCACACTGTAATTAATGTGAATTATAAGCAGCTTCATTAGCATAGAAAGGGAATTCTGGCAAAAGCACTTGGCAATAATTCAGTGTAGCTTCTTAAAAGTAATTCTCAGTGAATGCATTGTATTTACACTTCAAAGCCAATAGCTTGATCCATTAATTGTAATTTGAGTCATGTCTGTATGTATAAGATAATGACAAAATGATCTCTAGAAAATGCTAAATCTTACTTTCCTTTACACAATTAATTTATATCTTGTCAGTGGTAGAACTTTCAACAGACCACCAAATTATAAAATATCATCTTTTTCCTGGGGAGGGGGTCTATTATGGATATTTACTAACAGAAAATGGCATACATATTAAATTTTCATCCTACGACATAACAAGTCTAAATATATACAGTACAAAGTCAGTAATCCGGACTCGTCGGGACTTCGACGATTCCAGATTAGGGGTTTTTCCGGAGTATAGATCATCAATTTAAATTTGGTAAGATGGCATGCAGAAATTATACAATTAAAAATATGAAACCGTAATTAATGAAATAAAGAGCAATTATGATCTAAAGGGTATCAAAGTTTACAAAAAAAAAAAAAAAAAAAGCTTTATTTATTTATTTACTTTATTAAACATTTCTTTCAATGTAAGTTGTTTAAGTTGCTTCGTTTTTTGTGGAACAAAGTTCCACTGTTCAAGTCCTGTAATTGCTGTGTCGAGAATGCCGACTAACTTGTCAATCAAAATTTTTTCGTTTTCAATTCTGTCACTTTCTTCACTTCTTCAGCACGTATGGGTAAACGCTTTACGTGCATGCATAAGTTTGTGGCTTTGAGATCTGGATTATAGATCATTCCGGATAATGGATGTCTGGATTACAGACTTTGTACTGTATAAATATCATTACAACATTATCTGCTGTTATACACATAATAGAAATATTTTAGAAACGTATGTAAGGCAATTAATTAACTACATGAAAATATTAACTCTGTTTATGCATTTTATAGTTAATAGATGTCTCGATTTAAAGCTTGTTTTTTTTCTTGATCATGCTTAGCATTGTGTTCTACTATTTATTAGCAAAATCCTTAATTTGTCGTTACTGTGAGGCTGCAAATTGTTACTCAGATCATGCACCTGAAAGATTCGTTGTTCAGTTTCAGTATCTAATTTTTAAATTAACATCTGGTTGAATCTGCTATAGTATATTAAGTCATATTATCATGCTAATGATTCTCAATATTTTCTCTCTTAAGTATGGTTCCTCTGTTTCAGTCCTTGTGTGCATGTTGCATACATTGGTTTATTGAGTTTTTGTTGCTTGAACACAATGTAGTGGGGTTTCATGTCACTTATCATTTCTTAAGTGTTAATTCTTATCCTCCTGTTCAAGGGAGAAACTTTTTTTCTTGTGTGCACCAGAAATATCAAACTTTGCAAAATAATTTTCCCCCTCATGGCAGCTGTTATTTTTTAAAATTGTTTGCAGAATTGATTGAATTTTTCATATTCAGACAGAAACATCATTATTCTGGTGTATTTACAACACTGACAAAATCCTTTTGAATTTTCAGGCATTACATTACAGCAGTGAAATCAAATATTGTGCGATGATTTTTTATCTTGTTAGATTTGAGTGAATGGCAAAATTAGATCAGTTGGTGTTACAAGATCTTCTAATTTTTCATTTGTCATTTCATGATCGCCATTCTCAACTAATTCTTTAATTTCAGTTCCATATCTGAAAATCTTTCCCTGGCTGTTCCATTTGCAATTTGTACAATAGGCTTGCCTTCATTTTTAGTTAATGGAAATAGTTTAATTAAAAACTTCTGGTAAGCATTGAAGCCAGCAAGCATTTATCAACTTCAAAGCTCAGGTTCTGCTGTTGCAAGTAATGTTTGACTTACTGAATGAAAGAATTTTCAAACCAGTTATTAAAGAGGAGTATCACAGCATGACTGAAACTCTGCAGCATGCTATACATTATTAAAATTGTCATGTTGGATAAAATTAAAAGGAGTCAATTAAGTTCACGCTTACATGCAAAATCATTCTTGGCAAGAGTTTACTGTGTTGGTAAAGATTTTAGAAATATTTTAGTGAACAATTGGACAGCTTACTAATATTCATTTCATTTGTTGAACTATTGTCTTCCTTCTAGCAGTTCCACTTCTCCAATACCTGTTCATATGCATACTTCAGGTTCTGATCTGATACTCGGGGAGTCAATGGATTGCTGATCACATTGACCTTTCATTTCGTAGCAAAGAAGTCTATTAATGTAGCAGTTCACAAGAATTAAGCATGATGTTATGAAACGTAAATTAATTTTTTAATAAATTAAAAAAATAACATTTTTGCTTTTCTTATGAAATTATTTGGGGAAAGCTATATATATATATATATATGTATGCATGCATGCATGTATGTATTTCATATTAATACCCTGGATTATTTGATATTGTGTGGGATTTTTTACTCCATAGTAGTTTTCAGGATTTTTGAAATGGGGGTGCCATCATCCCTGACTGTTTTGGGTCAGTTTGGTTTCAGCCCAGGGGCAGTGTTGAGCATGTTTGCATTAAGAGCTATTTGTCGTTTATTCTTGTTCACTGTGTTAGTTTTCAAGTCATTATGTCACCCATGTTTTTGACACTGAATTAGTACAATTATTTTCATTGATTTGTTTTGTTAATCTGATAACAATTTTCTTTTCATTTCTAATTGAACCAGGGCTTATTTACTGCCTAGAGCAGTGTTTTCTTTTTTCTTTTCTTTTTTTTTATTTGGTTAGTAAAATAATAGCTTTTTTCATGCTGTTACTTTTGTTAATTGCCTGTCTGCATATAAAATAGTAGACTTGTGATAATAGTTTAGTTTTGCAACATTCATAATGAAGCAAAACGTACAACTTTTCCATGTTAAAAGGAGCATTTATAAGGTAACACTTTGAGCTCTTCAATGTCGTTTATGATGTTCTTCTCATTTTGAATTTGGTGCAGATCATTCTGATAAGTTAATGCAGTTTCAAAATAATTACAATTTATTCATTTTGAAATTTCAAAAATAGGGAAGCAATATGGAAAAGAGGAGGAAAAAAGGAAAAAAAAATGGATTATGAAATAGTAGAGATTAACTAAAAAAAATCTGGTAAAAATGAAAAGGCAGTAGTAAAATATCATAAGAAACAAGTTTTGTACTGGAATGTGTTTGGGGAAATGGTATTTTAAGCTGTTACAGGATGCTGCTGAGTAGTAGATAAAAGCATTTTTCTGTCATAAATCGTCATTTCTCATCTAGATATCAAATGGTATGCATCACTATATAAATGTGGAAGTTGCTGATATACAACTTATGTGTAGTTGTAGACAGAAATGGAGAAGCTACATAAAGGAGGTATTCAGCAATCATTCTCTTTACCTGTTTTGAGTAGCTGCTTTATTTAGCTGCACCATTGATAAAATGCAAGTCAGCAAGCTCCACTTTTGTATAGCTATATGTACTGCTTGAAATTTGCACTGGAAATGATGTGTGTCAGCAGAACACTTTAATGTACTTTACACTGTGTCAGCCCTGCTGAAGAGTGGTTAGAACACACTAACCAGTCTTCAGCAGGGCTCTGCTCTGCCTCAGTATGCCATTTTTAGCATACACATTTCATTACAAAATCTGCTTATTTGGGCCCCCTTTGCCTGCCTTTTATATTTTGGCCAGATGTTTCTGAATGATGCATTATATGTGTCTGATCAGGAGATGGCATAAGTCCATTTGCTGCACTGAGTTTTTTACAAAATAGCTTTTTAGAAATGTTTTGAAATTTTTTAACTAGATAAATAGTCTGAATTAAAATATTTTAACTGATGAGACTATCCACATGCACGTACAGCCTCCTGTATAAAGGTATTATATATCAAGGTAACATAACTTTCAGGTTTGGAAAATCATCCTTGAGTATGTGATTAAGAGAACTGAGTAAACCAGGCATTATGTAAAATATTCAACATTATTTCAACCCTAACTTTTATGAAAGTAATGAATTGTATAACTTTTAGAGGGTAAAAACTGCTTAAAAGATAGTTCTAAAAGGTAAATTTTTTTAAAAATTTCCCTGCTTCATCTGATGGCTTTCTCATTATTATTGTAGCCTTTAGATCATGGCACAGATGTGACAACATTAAGCTGCAAAGAAATACGAGTAGAACAAGTAATTTTATTTTGCATTGATTTACCAAATAAAAAAACAATTGGAGTGAAAGCAAAGAATAATAAAGTATGTGGAGACATTTTGAAACCAGTTCTTCACAAGTATGGATATAAAATGGATCATGTCACAATGACTGTGGTAAGTAGCTTGTAATATTAAATTATTTTTTAGTGAAAATCAGGCCTTTTAAGTCCTCTTGAGTGGCAAGCCATTCTGAGTCAGTTCATGGAAAACTATATTTCAGTAGCATTTATTGACTAAATTTCTATAATTCCTTACTTTATTCTTTGTCGTCATAACCCTTTATTTATTAGGATGCTCACTGAAGAAAGCAAGAAAGCAAAATGATAAATTAAATTATGAGGTATAAACCAAGTGGCAAAAATTCCTTTTCCATGTATAAATAAATACATCAGAAGTGTTGATGTTTTATTATTTTCCATTTCTTTGGTTTCTTTTTCAAGAAACTTCTATAGTAATTTAAATTTATGACCTCAGCTTTCATTTTTTATGTGTCTGGTTTTTCTTTTGAGAAGTTTCTGTAATCTCTATTTTTAAATAATGAATAATCTGTAGGCATGTATGTATCAGGGTTTGTAGCGGTCCTTACAAGTCCTTATATTTGAAAATAAAATATAAAGGCCCTTATAGGTGCTTACTTTTTCCTTAAGCCTTATTCTTGTTTTAGTGCTTATTTTTGCTTTTAGTGGGCTTTTTTAAAATCCTTTTTTTATAATGCGCTTTTTTCCGTACAAAAGCCGAAACTAAATAAACTTTTTTCTTCCTTATATGAACGTCAGAAGGTGAATCATACTCCTGGAAATTGCTTTTCCCCCCTCTTCTCTGCATTACCGTAACCTATGGTGCGTGCAAGAGTACAGACAGGTGCACGTCGTTCTATTGGTGAAAGAATTGCGAAAATGGTAGAAAATTCCGGTACATTCGGTATTCTCCTCCCACCCCAATACTACACATGTTTGAATTTCTATCAAGATTTTAATAATTTGCATTCTCGTTCCGCGTGGTCAGTTCATATTTGTGTTTATTATGATTGTTATGCTTATGATATGAGTATATGCATGAATATTTATAATAATATAGTTGCAGTATAGATAAACTTCCAAAAATGGGTGTGTTTTTACACAGATTAGCTTTCTAAGGAATAATATTCGGAATGGCTTAAATAAAAGGAAAGTAATCGAATAGTCAAAATAATTTCATTTTCTTTGCCAATACATTATACAGTACGGAGGTTGGGAGTTTCTCTGCAAAATCTCTAATATTGAAGCAGCGGACTTTTTTTTTTGTCACTGTCCAAGCTGGATTGAATAGGACTAAAAGTTTTTGCGGTCTACCCAACCCAAGCGAAGATAGATTCTATTCCGGAAATTTAATGCAGTCTGTTGAAAATTAGAATCAGAAACTCCCCAGATTGGTAAGTCTCTTTCTTTTCTTTTATTTACTTCTTTATTCTCCGAATACCGGCAGCTGTTGATTCCGATTGCGTAATACACATGTGGAAGAATTACGCCGCACGTATTGCGCAATAACGTATTGCACTATCGCAATAACATATTGCGCAATAACTTTTGCGGTATTTTGCGAAGATAATTAATTTTGATGTTCAGTCTGATATTTGTTTATGAACACCTAAAAGAGTTTTACTGTGCTTTCTAAGCAGAATATTTTTCACTTCTGTTGGTCTATTTTTATGTGATGCACATATTGAAATGTCAAAATCATTTATTTAGCCTAAATTTAAATCTAAAGAATGGCTACAATCTCCTCTTTTTCCAGTTACTATCCGGAATATTAGGGAATTTCCGAGTATGCGGGTTAGTTAAGCTTTTACTGTTAAAGGATGACTGAATGAAGCAGTTTCCCCGTCTTCTGATTTCAGAAATATGCCTATTTTTTACTTAAATTACTTTGCTTGGGATATATGTTAAGGGAAAACTGTTATGCAATGAAAATTTAGAAAATGTTCAGAATTTTGATTTAAGTTAAATTATTTAAATATTAATATGAGTGGAAAAAATAAATTGTATTTATTATTAGGTGCCAAACAAATACAATTAATAGGCTTATTATATTATTTTTTATATTTTGAACTGAAATTTCATCATTAAATCTTGTAATATAGTTTCGTTCCGCATAGTTTTTTTCTCCTCTCATTGTAAACTAATTCTGTAAATTGAACTGTCATTTAAATTTAAAAAAAAAGTTAATTGTTTTCCATGGTTGAGGTAATGCTCATTTTCTTAATAAATATTGCATTGCTCATATTTTAAATTACAAGTTTAATTTTTCTTTTAAGGTTATGCAGTTGTGTATAATGTAATTAGACAGGTGCTTATTTTTTCCTTAAAATGTGCTTGAAAAGTGCTTATAGATGCATATTTTTTTAACTAAAATGTGGCTACGAACCCTGTGTATGCATGTTCTTCACATAGTGGTAAGCGGTAGCAGCTAGAGCCACCAGATTTTTTGAAGATTATAGACCTTTACCCAAAAGAATACTCCTCAAATCTGGAAGTGCGAATTTTCGCTTACCAACCAGCGATTCAAAAACAGTGTTTTACCACTTGGCAAAGCATAAGATATTTATGTTTTAATTTTAACCTAGAAAACTCGGTGATTTTAATAAAGTTGCTGCCACTCAAAACGTGTAAGCTATTCGTATTTCAACTTTAGTCAACAAACTTAGCAATTTAAAACAAATATGTTGCCATTGCCAGCAATAAAATATTTTTATCTTTAAGGCACTATTTTGGAAAGACTAAGGTGTATTTCTTTCAATTTAAATCTGTTATTGAGTAACAATCTGTGATTTACAAGCAATAAACTCATTTCTTCAACTCTGCTGTAATTAATTATTAACTGGACTTAAGAATTTATATTAACTGGACTCATTAAAGTCATTATATGTTTTTCCTTTTCAATTGCTGCCAATTCTTGTTGTTTTACAAGGAGACTTTCAGTTTTTCATTATGTTTTGTGCTAGATCCCCGAGTTTTCTGTTGTTTATATCTAGCCTTTACTACTGAAAGTGTTTTTCAGTTATAAATTAAATTTATTGAATTAATGAAACTTGAATTATGAAAATCTTTCCTCCACCCCTATTGATTTTCAGCATTATTTTTCTTATTATGTCTTATATGATACACCTTTGACATATACTTAGTCTGTTTAGGCATTTATATAACTTATGGAGATTCAACTAATGCTTAATCAGTTAATTTTGTTTAATATCAATATGTGGTACATTGCCAAGTTTATTTTCACAGTGTGTAAGCTAATTATTAATTTTAATTTTGATGTACTTAATATGATGAAATAAAATCTTTCCTGCTCAGAATTTTCTTAATTTAAAAGTGAAAGAAAATTACAAAATGAAATTAACCAGTGAACATTAAATTTTAAGTATCTAATTAAGTATTAATATATTTTATATCAGAATGATATAAATATTTGAATAACCTAAATTATGCATTATAACATAGGTTTTGAAAGTTTTTTAAGTTACGCCTCCCTATAACCCAAAATGAAACTTCTTGCCCCTTCCCTAACAATGGTATTATGCTATACCAATAAGGGTAGTAAGAACAAAAAGACAAAATTTATAAAGTTTTTATTGTGGAAATATGCTGTTTCACACACATATGGGGGGGGGAGGGATAAATCAATAAGACACATGTGCTTGCATATTATTGAAAAGGTATTCAGTTCTTGGTTGAAAAGAAGAAAGTTCGCAATGTAAATCACTAGCAATACTAAGTTTGCTTCTATACTTTGCTTTTATTGCTACAGATGCTGAAAATGTTCTTCGCATGGTAAGTACAGTTGTAGTGCTTGCTCTGCTATGCTGGGATAAACTTTCAGATATTTTACCCAAATTAATGGCTAATTCATTTTCTCAAAGTCATTTGGCTGCAGAATCATTTTAAATTTCCAAAGTTTGCTCTTGTAGTGTTTTTGGCACATCTATGTCAACATAAAGAGGATACATTGCCATTCTATAAATATTTTTATCACATGAGTTATGAAAGTAACATTTGAATTCATCAGTGAGGTGCTGCAAATAATTTGATTTTTACTCTTAATATCAGTATTCTTAAAAACCTCCTTAAAGTGCCCTTCTTCCAGGATTCTAAACAATTTGGCAAAGCAGGAATAATTGTAGGCTAAAGTTTTGTGTTTCTAGAGTTACAACTTATCAGTATACATTATGATGGCATCCCAATGATAAATTATGTTCTAATCTACACCTTGTAATTTCAAGTTCAGTGAATCGAAAATATCTGATTCACTGATCTTACTGAACTTGAAATTACAAGACAATATAAAGCTTTTGAACACATAGACTTCAGTTTGATTTTGAATCTCCAAAAACTGAATAATTTTGTCTTGAAATTCAAATAATCTTGATATCATACATATAATCAAATATGTATATAAACAGATAAATATGTCCATATTAGAATTGCCATAATTCACTTTCTAAATCTGCAAAAATATCACTGCTGTCATCAGTGTGAGAAAAAGACTAATTTATTATTTGTATATACTCTTCTGTTAAGTGCTTTTTTGTTTTGGCAATGTTTTGTTTGGTAAGAATACTTCATTCAACCATACAAAATATCCATCTTAATGCTAGAGTAAAGAATCAAATAGCAATAAAATGAAACCTCTAAAAAGGTAGAATATCTAACCTGTTATATCTGCGGGAGGAAAAAGAAAAAAATATCCCAAATCATAGATAATGCATTTGTCTATATTAGCTGATGCAGTTAAAGAGTCAATACTCCACTCAATACCCAAAAATCTTGCTCTCATTCCAAAATAAAACACCAAAAATAAAAAACATTGCATAGGAATGAAGGTCAACATGTGTCACTGTAAATTTCACCATACCAGACAGGCTACATCTAGTTGCCCCTCCCCCCAAAATCCTAGTTAAATCGAAAAAGTGATATCTGGGAGCCCAGCTTTAAACGTCGATATATGACACACCCGATCGTGAGATAGTGTTTGCTGGTGATGCACATGTGACTAACCCATCTCAAATGGGATAATAGAAAATTGAGTAAGGCCATTGATTGTTTTTCTTTTTGCAATCCATTCCTTGAAAAGAAGTTACATATGCCAACTGAAGCATTAAGATTGAGCAAAATTCAGTCTTAATTTGGCATTAATTTTATTTTATTATTTTTTAAATTTTGAGTGACAGTCCAGTTTCCTGACAATCGGTGAGGCCTTTTTAAAAATCATTGCTATCTAAGAGTGGATTTTGACTATAGTAAAATCCAAATACTTTAATGCTAGCTTCATTTTTTAAAAATTTTATTGCGCTATAGAATGTTTCGAGTGAAATGTTTCTTAGTAATGGAAATTATGTTTTATATGGTGGTAATGATTATCATGATTAAATATTCTTAACAATGGATTTCATGTTTTCAGGCATCTTTGCAGAAACCGGTTGTCAAGAGTGCTCCAATTACTAGCATTGATAATCAGAGGATACTCATAGAAGTGAAGGATTCTTTTTCTTCTGCTTCAGGTAATAATGTGAAATTAACTTAAAATAAATTATGATAGATCTTATTTACAATTAGTGTAGAAAAATTATTTTGTCTTTCCTCATGCATTTTTAACTAAAGTGCACATAGTGAATGGAAGAGAAACGTAACTCATTTAAAACTAATGTACGTATATTGTTATATATTTTTTCACAGGTGTTTCAAAACCAAAGTTAATTGTATAGAATAGCTAATAGAAGTAAGAGAAATGCAAATGTTAGAAGACTTGAGTTTTATAATTCTTCCTTCCTTTTTTTGTATTTATTTCTTGAAGATTTGTGACCAGGATCATATCCTGTTGAAATACATGCAGCAGCTCATTAAAATTATGCTAATCTAAGATTGAATTTTTCTGTAAATTATGTGCATGTTATATTTATTGCAGCAGTATTTTAGTATCTTTCTGTTGCGTGGAGGTAGACTTTTTCTAAATGTAAGAAATATCTCTTTTTAACTATTTCAGTAAGCAAGCAATTTAAATAGAATGAAACACTTGAAAAATCTTTTTACTGAGAATACCTACTTTGAAAATGCAAACACTTTTAAAAGATGAGAACACGTTTGATTTAAAGCAAGCCTGTAGGAAACAATCTCAATTAAGATATATTTAAATTAGCTTTTCTCTCTATTTCAATGTTTGTACATGAATTCACCTAAATAAATTGAATAGCGAGTATGCTGATACCACTGTTTTTTGTTTCCTGACCAAGTGCAAATTACTCATTCTATTAAATGTTAATACATACCTGGAAAAGTGTTAGAAAAGGTCAGTATTTTTTATTTGAAAAATCTGAACATGAGACTATATCATAATTACACACCTTCTACCATAATCACACTAAACCATAACTGTACATTATTCTGACCATCAAAATTGCTTGATTTGCAGATATTTAGCAGAAGCTAATGAAAATTTGCATCTGCGTGGACAGCTTCCATCTACTTAATTGTGTGCAAAAGTTCGGATTTTGGGAAGAGTGATAGTTTATAGTTAAGATCAAAATTTGGTAATCAATGATTTAAAAATGTTGCTATAAAGTAGACAAGTTGTATTAACATCATTTGGAAAATTTGAGAAGACTGCATTATTGAATATCGACATGGGAAATTCTAGTGTGTATAGGTCATATTTAGAGTAGTAATTTTGTCACTGAAAAAAGGTAAATGTCATGGGTGATTGTTCAGAAGATTGGGAAATTTTGTAGATGAGGACTTGCACTAACATTTTTACAGCTGAAAAAGAACTTGCTTTCGAAAATATCAGATTGCAATCTTACAGCTGTGTAGGTTTTGCTAGTAAATAAATGAAAATAGTCCCTGCTATTGCAGACACCTATCCTAGATCCTGGGTATGCTACAAGAAATGGGACCCGTTTTTATTGTGTGGGGGGATCCATTAATAGCAGAAGTTAACCTGTTAATTTTTATTTCTGGTAGGTGACTGATGTAAGCCATTAAGATAAATTAAAATTAGCTGGAAAATATTGAAAACTGTATTTTGAGTTGCCAAGTTCAGCTCAAGTTTTCTCACACACAACACATGCTGCATTGTCTCTTCGCATATTGCCCATGCTAGTCAAATTTATTTTTCCTGGTTATCCATTTTACTTAGACTGTTACTTAATAAATGTAGGTTACCTAGCTGGCAAAGCAACAGTTGATTAACAAGGTAGTTGAAACTTGGTCGAATGTTCCTCAAGATATACTCAGTTTGTGCACCTTAAAGGTACTTTGAAGCACTAATAAAAAAAAATTGCTGGTGTCTTTGCATACCAAATAACCATCAACAATTAACTTTGGATGACCCTTTGTTGAAAGTACATATTTGTATATCTTGAGGCGTTTTTCAAAAGTAATACAGTACAAAGTCCGAAATCTCGACTCGTTGGGACTTCGGCGATTCTGGATTTGGAATTTCCGGATGTTAGATCATCAGTTTAAGTCTAGAAAGATGGCATGTAGAAATTATAAAATAAAAAATATGAAATTGTGATTTATGAAATAATGAAGTATTTATGATCTAAAGGGTATCAAAAATGTACAAAAAAAAAAGCTTAATATTTATTTGTTTACCTTATTAATTATTTCTTTCAATGTAAGTTGCTTCGTTTTTTGTGCTAATACTTTCTCTTTAATTCTGTAGAGGGACATTATCTCTTGTTTAGTTACATTGTTGAAGTCCTGTAACTGATGTTTCGAAAATTCCGACTAACCTGTGAACAGAAATTTTCCCATTTTCAGTCACTTCTCTGTCACTTTAACTATCGGTACCATTAATTGGAAAATTTCACCTTTGTTTTGTGATATCCAAAGACCTTTAAAATTAGTGGCTATCATCATCAAATTTAGCTATCCTTCACTATAAATATTTAGCTAAGCATCATGAGCTTGGCGACTAATGACAAGTTGTTCGATTAAATTTTATCTTGCTTCTATCGCGCACTGAGACAATTAAGCCTGAATTGTTTTATTTTAGTTATTTATTATACTTATGTCTATTTCTTGCACATGCTTAAGGCTTATCAGAGTAGTGAATAAATAAATTCCCACATATACTTAAGCCTTATTGAGGGTCGGTGCTAGATATCTTACTGCCTGATGCAGTCTCTGTGGGTCATAAATTATGCGACTCGGTGTGGCCATATGAGCCCTGGCACTGGTTCTGGGTTTATGTGAATAACAAATCAGTGATTCTTAATTCAAATAGCCATAAATGTAATCTTTGGGTCTCTGAGTATCATCAACAAAATCTACTTTTAGCATATGGAAGGAAATTTTTAGTAAATTTTTCCTCGTCAACGTATTTTTGATTCATTTAAGGTAAATCTGTAATCATGGCCAAGCGTAATGTCAACATAAAAGGTTACCATACTCCTTTACCGTATTATTCATTTACTAACATAAAAAAAAAAATTAGGCATCCCTACATGAGTCATTACTCAAGTTGTCATGTTTTGATAAACATGCAGTGATGAAAGGAAAGTATAATAAATAATGACTTGCCAGATTGGCGTCAGATGAACGGTGTATTTATGTCGAATGTTTTCATTTGAGATGTGTGCCAAAGCAGATATGCTGCAATGGAGCCAAATTACTGATTGTACAAATTTATGCTAAAATGATTGTTTCTTCAATAACGAGGTATTTTATTTGCAGATCACAGATCATGATTCGTGTAAAAGGCATGCGGCCTATTGAGCCCTTTACCAGTCTATATTTCTTAAGTTCTGAATGTAATTTATTTAGTGTCGAAGGGAAATTAAGAATTGCTACTCTCCAGATGTTTTATTATACGCGGAGGGGGAAATTAAATGCACATGCGTAAAGGCTACGAGAAAAAACAGTGGTTTTGAGGTCCGGATTTTAGATCATTCCGAACAATGGATGTTCGGATTTTGGACTTTATACTGTATATACGCTAACTCCTAATGCATTCATGTAATAAATACATATGTGGACAAAAATGAAACTGAAGGGATAGTAAAAGACTATATGAATGAGGTGCAGTATAGTGTCCTACATTTTTCTTTAGTAGTTAGCCAATAAAGTGAAGCATTATTTTCAACGTTCTTTGTTCAGGTTCTTTATACTGTGTGGACATTGTGGGAGATAAGATTAACCCCCATCTAATAAGTGACCAAGACAATAACAGCAAATCTTTGGGGGATTCCAGCTTGTTGAAACAGAAATCAAGAAATTCTTCAACAGTGACAGTCTTGGGGGGGGAGCATTAGTATATTTGAGAAACATTCAAGGGAAGGAAAGCAATGATAACAGGAGCAAATATATGAAAAATTGGGGGGGGGGGAAGGGTTCTTCAGAGTTGTAAAGTTTGAATAAAGTTTGAAAAAATTCAAATAACTGTAGGAACTAATTTAGGGACATTTTAATGAAGTACGCTAATCTCTGTCGTCTAGTGGTGAATGAATAAAAAAAAGTAAACTTTTGGGCGTATGTACCCTTTGGCAACTGTGTGTTGTTAGGCAAACTACTTGATGCATTTAAATATAATATCTTGACGTGCAAGGTACAGTATATATCTTATGTTACAATATATCATTTACTGTAAATTAGTAACCTTACTTGTAACCTCAGTTTATTTATTTTCGGTATATAACACATTTCAAGCTGGATTGTTTTCTGTATAGCTTTCATTTTCTCTGCACCATTGAAAAAATATAAGCTGAAGTTTCAGTGACATTTACCACTTAACAGTCTTGCCTGTGCTTCATACGAGCAGTGCCTTTTGTGCATGTGATTTGCCTGTTAATGGTGCAGATGTCACATTTTCAAAATTCATAATTCTGATTATCATGTATAAATTATTCTAGTTTGCTTTTCAGTTCCATAGATGTCATTACTGATCTGTAGAACAAACTTTCTCTTTTTTTTTTTTTTCCTTGTTCTGCTTTGATTCTTCATGAAATGCACTTTTTTGTTTGGGTATTGTATATTACAGTTAATGAAAGTTCCATTTTGTTGAGGTTTGAAGAAAATTATAATATTTTTATTAACTTATTATGAAAATTAATAGCTAAGCTTTCAAGTTTTATTTTATATAGTTTACATTCTTAAATTTTTGTCTGAACTGAAGATTGATAATTTTGACAGTAGCAGCAGTCAGTGACTGTGGAAAGAAACAAAATATTATTGGCAGGACTGTAATATATTGCCAGAACTGTGTATTGTATCGTTTTAAAATATTTCACACTGAGTGGAAATGTTAACTTGTATCTAGATATTTCAAGGTGTGTATTAATATTTCGAGGTGTGTATTACTGTAAAACCAACATTAAAGGGGGAATGATAAATTTAAAAAAAAAAATCTATGTATGGATACTTAATTTTGGGCCAGTAAATTCTTTTTTACATATATTTTATCTATAAATGCAGTTTTCTTACAATTTCAGCCATAAAAATGTAGACATTTTAAAAATGTCTACTGGGTTTTAAAAATTTTTTGGATCCACCAAGTGGTTAAACTTCTCTATTGCCTGTGTAATGCGAATAACTATCAATTATTAAATATTGTTCCAGTTTTGTATCTTTGCATTCTAAATTATTGTGAGTGATTTACTGTAAGCTGGAGAAAGAGTTTGCCGTCTGGCAGATAGTTTCTAACTTAGGTTGCTGTGACTCAAATATCAAGTGGGACTTGTAGTTTGTTTAACATCTAACATACTAGTTTTGTTGTGAGCTTTATTATCTATTTTCTAAGTAAACATTTGTAAAAGTTTTTGCTGGTTAATAAAAGTGTTCTAAACTTTCTGAGTGTCCTATTGTAATGTTGGAATAAATAAAATGATTCAAATGCTGAGTGATTTCTGTATGAGATGGAGTGCAGTTACTAAAAAGCATTAAAGGAATTTCTTTTTTGATGAAATATTTCATGTAAATTTTTATCCAGTGTTGAGAAGTACTTTATCATCCATGCTTTTTATCTACTTTTATCATCTAATATTTTAACATTTCCCATGAACCATTATATTCAGATTTTCCTGCAGAAAGTAACAAGTGGTTTAAATATTGTCAGTTGACCCCCCTAGAAGAAACACCTTGTATGCATTTTTCTACTGCTATAAAGGCATTGTATTTATAAAAATAAAGTACTATATATTTCTTAGGGTTAGAAGTGGGACCTAGCTGAAGTATCTAGAGAAAGTTATTAGTATTATTTACCTAGCAGAATATGCCTAGTCCATTAGTAGGAAGGTTTTGGTATACTACCTAAAAATGCATTTAATCAACATAGTCTGCTAGTTTTAGGGTAAAAGGTATCACTTTTGCATATCTATCACAATGCTGTGATAGAACCAAAGGATGACATTATTGGAGGGCAGTACCATTCACCTAGACTCGCTTCTAGTTGAGAGACATTTCCAAGAATTGCTAGGAAACTTCTGAATTGGATACCAATATTAAGAAATTTTATTAGTTAATATTAGGTTCAAAGAAAAGTAATATATTTCTTAATTAGTTAACCTATATCATTCTTGTAATCAAATTACTTATAAATCATTTTTAATTTGTATACAACCCAATACTAAACTTCAGTGGTAAAACATTAGCTGTAAATGCTTGCTTTGTGTGGAGAAATCTATAGTAATTCCATTTTTCCACAGTTGATGTAGTTGTTATCTTTCTAGTATTATTTTTCATTTCACATTTTCTTTTCTTCATTACATGTCTTCTTGAAAAACATAGATATCTCATAATATACTGAGTTTAAACCTTTTGTGGTGATAATGTTTGAACTGATTGATCTGGATGTATAACCCTTGATGCAAACTCATTTACTCTGAAATATATGGTATTTCTTAGCCTTTTCTTGGATAACTCACTTTCTAATTGTTGTACCTCTCATCATACAGCGAGGATAAGTCTGGCAACAGCTGCAGGAAGAAAAACTTGGCAGTGCTGGAATGGCAACAGCGGATGATATTCTATGGATTTTAATATTTTTTTTTTTTTTGAGTCAATGTTTCTTTTGCGATACTATTGCGTTAAAAATTTGAGTTTTGGGTGAATGAAATGAATCCGCTGTCCCGCTGTGGGTATTAGTAAAATATATTTAGAAAATTAGCTGTGTTGGAAAGGATGAAACCTTGCGTTTGAATATGCGGTAATTTTCCACCTAAAGTTGCGTCGAGTTCAGAATATTATGCCAGGCTTATTCACGCTGGTGCAGATAAGTTCAAATTTTGTTATTGTGTTTATAGTGTATAACATGCAAATATATGAATAGAATTCTATTAAATAAACATTTAAAATTCTGGAATGGTGTTTTAAAATTTTAGATGTAGAGTATTCACATTGCTATGTCGGAGCCAGTGGCAGTCAGGTGTAAAGTAAAATTGTTTTTGCTCCACGACATAACACTAATGGAACACAGATTTATACCAAAGCAAGGATATTGTCTTTTTTCTTTTGTAACAAATTTTCTTGATGGATTTAATGTGCTGGAAGTCTAAAACTTTGTTTTAAACAAATGTTACCGCAGACATGTGAGTAATGTCGGAATGTAGATGCTTCTACAATACCATTGCATTAAACTACTTTGTAAATATATATTTTCAGCTTTAGTCTTACTATTGATAATTAAAGCTTAAGGGTCCCTTATAGATCATTAGTGTGACTGGCAGTTATATGAAAGAAAAAGTTTATCCTCTCAGAGCTGCACCAGATGATGTTTCAAGCTGTCTGCCATGAAGAGACTGTAAAAGCTACGATGAAACTTTGGTTCATGAATCCTTGTGAAAGGAATTTCTGTAAATTTTCTGTGAATGATTCAATTTTTTTTTCAAAATTAAAATATATTTGACCTCAAAATAATTTTTTTTTTCACTGTATCAAGATACAAGATGTTGAGTCAGTTTTGTTTTAATATAAACTTTTTTTCATAGGTATGTCTGAGTATTTAAATGACAAAGATAAGCTACCTGAAAATGATATGAAATCAACACATTCCTTCCCAGATCTTGAGGAGCTTACTAATCAGATATTTGATGACCTTCTGAAGACAAGGCCAGAATTTCAGTTTGATGGCTTAGGAGTAATTGATATTGAAAGGAAATGCGATGCGGTGAGTAAAGAAAACTTGGCTTTTAGGTAATAAGCATGATTCTTTCTTGGATGATGTGTGGCGAATTTACTATGTGATTTAGTAGCAAATTGTATTCTATTTTGTACATTGTTATAATGTATGTACACTGGGAAAAAAAGAAAAAAAAGGAGCACAGTTTTATATGTGCAGTTCTACTGGACTGATTGAGGAAATTCAGCTTGTGTTTTTCATGTCTGGAAAGTGCAAATTAGGATATATATTAGATTTATATATAGCATTGTTCTGACATAGGTATTTTGACCTAAAATCAGACTTTTCCTGAAATACCAATTTTTTTTCATATTTCAGTTCTACAATTCAAATTATGCCAAAGTACCAAGTTCTGTAAAAATCACACGAGTAGTTTTTAAAAAAATTAGCTATCAAAATTTTATTTCCTCCTTGTTAATTGAATTTGGTTTACATTTATTAATCTCTCTCTTTTTTTTATTAAACTTATTTGAGTCTTCCTTTCACATTTAAAAATGTAGGTTCATTCCAAATTAAATTGCTCATTTTTTATATATATTTTTTTAAAATTTGTATTTTTAAGTGGTTTTTATAAATTTTTTAAAAAAATGTTGAATTATAACCTAATTAAAACACAATAACGTGCCGAATAAATACTAATTCAGAAGTCAAACAACAAAAATCAGCATTATATTTTCAAAATTTTTCACAGGACTAGTTTCAGTGGTTTTACCGAACCACCATCCTCAGCTGCAAAACCGCAAATGAACAAGATAGGAAATAATGATTAGATAAGATAAGAAAGCCTGGACAAGAATGAGCAAGTGGCACCATCTGTTGGTGAAACCAGAACTAAAACATAATTTCTTTAAAGGCCGAAGGCAGAGATGGATTGGAATTAGGATCGTTAACTAGAACAGAAAGATTTTTTTGAATTTGAAATGCCTCTAGAAAATCCAGTTCTCCAATGAAAGATGTTTTTTGAATAATTTTGGCAGCAGAAAAATTGAAAGTGCGATTTTCGGACCAACAATGTTGAGCAACAGAAGACTTCTGTGTTTCCTTTTTTCTAACATATGGAACATGAGGCATTACCATAGTAAGGATAGATGGGACAAAAATTATTTGGGGATCATGATAACGTTTGGAATTTTTTTATGAGTGGTTAGGTAACCAGTTTATCATCTGAATGAATACTTATGTATACTTTATTGGTATATATGCGTTTTAAAACTTTTAGAAGATTTTTTTAGAGTTTCTGAAGTATGTCTGTTTCTATAGTGTTAAAAATAACCTTTTTTTCTGATTCTTTTAAATATTTTAGTCCTGGTTTTTCTATTGATTCCCATATTTATTATAAATGCTGTGCAGCAGTTTTTAGCTACATTTGTAAATATAGGCATCTCGTCCTGATAAGAAAGTTCCAACTGATTTTTCTTTTGATATAACAACCTATTGATCGGAAAAATTTGTGGAATAGAAAACTTCTGGAAAGCATGAATACGGTAAATTTGAGCCTTTTTGTGAGAAAAAAGTAATTTTTTTTCTTCTAAGGCTAGCAAATTTAAGTATGCTTATTTGCTTTTCCACAGCATGAAAATACATCCTCTTGTTTTCTATTTGTTATAGAGGAAGTCTCATAGATAATGCTGCATTAAACCTTTGCTTGTGCTGTATAAAACAAATGCAGAGGCTTGGCTTAGTTATGTTATCCTCCAAGAATAAGTACAAATTTAGGATTAAAAAATGATCTGAAAAATACTTGGAAAAATTCATAATCTGTAAAAATGCCTACAGATCTGCATTTGGATTTACAACCTCATCAAAATGGATTATCTTGTGGGTTAGGGAGTAATGCAGAGCTTCGTGAGGTACTCTGAATAACTCCCTAACCCACAAGATGAATAACCTCCAAGATCCCTAACCCCCCCCCAAGATGAATGATGAATAAAAATCGAATCAGATTAGGAATTAAAATGCTTGGATATTTAAATATGTTAATTGCTTTTCTTTTATTCAGAGATGTTTGGAATACAATTTTTATGTACACAGTATAGAAGTATGTATAATTAGATTAAATCATTAAGGGATTTAATAGAACCTGGTTAATTGGCTCAATATCTCTTTTTAGACAAAATAAGTTGGGACCACAAGACTCAGTATTAATTTCAATCCTGTTTAACATCATGATCAATAATATGGTTTGCTGAATAATCAATACAGGTAATGCAGTGGAGGCTCTTCTGTTTGCAGATGATCTCATACTATGATTCACTGACAGAATATATAAAAAAAAAAAATTCAGGACTCCATTAATGAGACACTTGGCAGGCTTTTACGGTCACTGGTAAACGAAATGATCATAAATATTAATAAGACCAATTACCACATTTTTACCTTGGGTACACAATTTAAAGTTGTTACACTTTTATCTGGACTTCACCAATCAAATAAAATTGAATATCACCATCTTAAAGACCTATATCAGATCTGTTATTGAATATAGAGCTTAGCTATTGATTACTGCATCTGGGACCACTGAGAAAAAGTTAAAAATCGTTTAAAATAGTTCTAGAGTAATCACAAGTGATACTCATGCTACTGCAGTTGAAACCATGCAACTACAGTGTTCGAGATTTGCAAGAACTACCCGTTCTCCTTTCTCCTAATAAACTTAAAATAAAATAACTTTATTCTAAAGTGTCATATTTATTTTCAAAATCCGTAAAACTACAACAAACTACAACAAAAATCAGATGGTTGCCACTCTTACAGTGACAAACTATGAAAAGAAAAATAACAACTGAGGCTGGGTTCTAACATACAGAGCAGAGATCTGCTTTAAACTACACTGGTATCCAAAATTAAGTTTACAAACACAAAAACATGTGATATCTTGAAACATTACAATGAAATTAAGACAGCCAGTATTAATGTTAAAAAAGGGGGGAGGAAGAAGAAGGAAAGAAAAGGGGATAAATGTTTTGAAATAGAGAAATGAAGCTAATAATGCCAGAAACATGACAGCTTATTTTTCAGAATGGTCCAGCTTATAAGGAGCGTGGCTCTCCCATATAACTTTGCATGCCGCAGAATGAGCCCTTATACTGTAAATGATGTTATCAATCACAGCTTGTGGTAGCAAATCCTATTCTTTTAAAAGTGAGGATTTTAACACATGGAGGGTCCTTGGAGGGCATTGATGCCAAGTAGTGATTAAGTATAAGTTATTACTTCGTGTATAAGACTTAGGTTCAGCACTGCTGTCTCAATCATATTGCAAATGCAATCTTTCTGCAGAAAATCATCTAGCATTTAAGCTTTATGTGGCCTTGCATTGTTGTCCACAAAAATAATGTCCTCTGATAGCTGTCTAGAAAAACGTCATGTAAAGTTAAGAAATTTTTCCCTATAAACCTGTGTCGTCATACTGCTGCACTGGAGACATGCAATAGTGTGTAGTTGTTCAGCATGGTGCCTCTTCTCGCAAAAATTGCACTTCCACTAAAGTGATAGATTTCTCTTATGTTTGAGGAATACTAATGAACCTTAAGTTCTCTCCATTTGAAGATTCATTAAGAACAACTCTGCGCACTGAACTTCAATTCATCATTGAAAAAAGCATGTCTGCAGTCTTTGCTTTGTCTAAGAATTATATGCCTAGTTTTACAAAAGATAGGCTCTTTATTATGATTTCTTGAGGGAACTTACACTTCAGGTTGTTGGGTTTAAAGGACCTCCTCTCCTAGGCATATATGTATACAGTTTGCCTGACAGTTGTTGCTCCAGAAGGAGCAACTAGATTCTGAGAGTACTTTTGTCCTTATGATGTCATGCATTTAATGTCACGTACTGATCTTCTGCAGAGGTTATGGCTTTAACATGGCCTTGGCCAGGTCTCCAATTGGGATATCCATACTTTGAAATTGGTGCCACAATCAGGATATCGCAATTCAAGACATTAATAATCATCAAATATTTTGCATTTGAGAGTAGACAACCCCCCAGTTCTATCTCATTTCAGCATTTGAATGATTTCAAGAACTAATTTTGACTAAAGTTAGACAGCTGTGATTTTTCTCTCAGTGAGTAATTCTGCAGCTTAATTTCCAAATTTTGAAATTGCTTACTTTTACCTGTTCGTGTTTTGAATCTTTTAACAATTAACAACCACATGATGCTTAGGTTAGATTGACATTGATAGCAGAGCTCTTGCAATGTCAGTGAATATTAGCCATGAACTGATGCATAACAATTCAGGTTCTTGGAAGTGAAAGAAGAAAGATATGTGAGAATAAAGAGGGAGGAACGCCTTTTTTCAAGTTTGCTGCAGACCACATCCTAGGTGCAGACGAAACTAACATGTAAAGTGAGGAATTGACTAGACATGGGTGAAGAATTGCTAGTAAAATCAAACTGTGGGACAAATTGCATTCAGGAATAAACGAATACGTAACTGTGTATTAGTAATCAGTGCTAGTAAGGAGGAAATATTGCAAAATGAATACTAAAATGTGTATTTTCATTAATTTCATTAAGCTGCAACATAGGCTACCTTGGATGCAGTAATAGTAGTAAGTCACTGTAACTGAAAAAGAAATTCTATTACTGAAAAGAAATACTGTAACTATGTATAGGAGGATATTGCTAAAAAATATTAGTTGCAGGAAGCATCAGAATAGGAATAAAACAGAGATTTTGGGATGATATTTTGAGAGAGACTTTATCCTATGCATATCATTGTACATTACAATAATTCTAAGTGTCAGGTACTTAACAAGTTATGAGTACAGTCAAAAGTCGTTAATTCGGACACCCATAATCCGGAACGATCTATAATCCGGACCTCAAAGCTACAAACTTTCTGCGCATGCGTCACGTTAAAGCATGCGCATAAGACCTTTACGGCTGTGAAGATGCGTGTGCGCATGCGCATAATACGTTTAGGCTTGCGCGTTTAATGTATAACAGACGGTATAAGCTAAGTTAAAATATCTAATTCAGTTAATGTTGCAGATTGCGTTGTTCCTTAATCTTCGAATTGGATCCGGCTTATTATTTTTTGCAGACTGTTAGAGCAATTTTATAAAAGTAAGCTTGAACTTTTGATTATGTCAAATAGAATTTCCGATATATATTTACTAATATGTAAAGGATCTACAAAGCGAAAGTATGTTTTGAAGTCCGTTAAACAAAAAGTGGAATTGCTGTAAAAAATAGATAAAGGCATATCCTTTGTTTCTTAACATTCCGAAATCTGTTTATCAATTTCACTCTGCTCTGCGGCGGAGAGGGGAGGACGCCGTGTCGCGCAATGAATTGGAAGTTGATCTGTCAGCACTATCCTTATCTTCAGGGCAGATGTTTTTATTTTATTTGGCTTGTAATTCCTTACTAAATGTAGTATTTCATCTCGATGTACTCCGTCTTTGATATGATTTAAATCAAGTTCCTCGTCATTATAATTCGCTTCCGATAGTGAAGAAAGTGACACAGAGGTTATTGAAAACGAAAAAATTTCGATTGACAAATTAGTCGGTATTCTCGACACAGCAATTATAGGACTTGAATAGCGGAACTTTGTAACTAAACAAGAAATTATGTCTGTTTAATAGAATTAAAGAGAAAGTATTATCACGTGAAATGAAGCAACTTAAACAACTTACATTGAAAGAAATGTTTAATAAAATAAACAAATAAATATTAAGCTTTTTCTTTTTGTAAATTAACTTTAAGGATCGATTTTCCAATTAATGAATTAGCTTCTGAAGGGGAAAAGCATGTTTTTATATGAAAAAAAACTTTGGAACAAATATGATTTCAATTACATTTTCACTTCAATTAATTTTTCTTTTCAGTATTTTGCAAAACCGATCCTTGTTTCTATAAAGTATATAATTTTAAATAAGCGGTAAAAATATTAAATAATTAGGTACATATGTATATAAGTTTTAGAACTTTAAGTAAAAGGATTTATGGAAAAAATCCGAACCGAGAAAATGCAGTTTAAAGAATGTAAACTGTCTAAATGGTCATTAAATCATTTCAAATTTCTTAAAAATTTTATTCCTGAATTTCAATATATATATAAATTAAAATCTAGTGCTATTAAATGGTTAATATAAACATAAATTACAAGCTTTTATTTAAAATCTTTGTAAAACACGTCCAAAACAACTTTATTACGTGAATTAATTATAATATATTTTCTAAAACATTTGAAGTCAATACTAAAACATTTATAATAACATTTTATTTAAAACAGCAGAATGTGTAACTTATTTTCTTTTAACCATTTGGTCTTGTATATGAATTACATTTTAAATCAATTTAGGGGCATTTTAATTAATTAAAGAGTTACACTCCAATGGTGTTCTATAGCAGTAGTAAACATTGTCAAAAAAGATGTAAGCAAACGTTAGAAATCTATCAATCTGATTGGGATTTGTGACATCATTGCATGCAATGGCTTATGGGTTAAGAGGGATGGAAAACAATGTGCATCTGAACCAGTCCTGAAAGCAAAACTGCTTTATAGCCCCATTTCTCCCTGATAAAAACGGTGGCTGTGCAAAAGAGCCTTGCATGTGAACGTAGCTGAAGTGACATATGTGAAAAGAATATGCAACTGTAATAATGAGCTACATGATCTCTGTTGATGACATAATGCCTCTGAACTCTACAGACATATTGTGTTTGTATTTTCATGACAGTAAATACTATGGGTGCGTCACTTTATACATCTTTTTTTGGGGGTTGCAAATGATTGTGAACTGTTATTTTGCAGATTTTTTCACTTGATCAGCCATGAAAGTTTTGTTTTGATTGTTGTTGGTGGAAGTCTGAGAGCTTTCTTTGTAACACATTTTTTAGATGTGTTAAGAATGTGCTCAAAATACAAAACTTGGATAATGTTTGATTGATTTTAATATTCTATATTAGGTTGTTATAGACTCCACTGCATAAGGGCAGCATTTCCATTACCCTTGCAAATATTTGACAAATTTCTTAGATTTCCCCATCTGAAATCTCTTAAGTCTGCATACAGAGAATTGGTATTAGTATGTGCTTAATGGCACAAATTTATTAATGAGAAAAGGAAAATATTGAGTTCTTGTTCTTTCCAAGGGAGCATTAAGCTGATGATTTGATTGATATATGAAAAGTTTTACAATTTAAAATGCATAGTATTTAAAAGGTATTGATGCAAAACATTATAATTTATGTAAATTTTAGTATGAGTAAGGTTAGACATGTTCCAGAGAAACACATTTCTCTGTCGAAAGATTTCTGGCCCTTTTTGTGTTGAATGCTAGTATGTGAATTTTAAAGATTAGAGTGGTGATTTTTTTCATGAATGGCTGAAAGACAGATTTAATTCCCCTCTTTTTTGAAAAATGGGTAGTTTCTTTGATTCCATTTGAAAGGTTCTGGTTGAGTATTTGCATTCCGATGAGAATATTTGTATTTTAACATTTGCATCCAGTATCCGTGTTTGCTGTGCTGTACCAGTGCACGCTCACTATAGTGTGAGTATAAAGACTAACTTTTCTCCAAGAGACTCGCAGTTGTACTTCACTGTTTCTGGTTGACATTTGACAGTGGTTTATCATCATTTATTTAATTTTATATTTTACTTTTAATTTTAAATAAAGCCAAGTGTTGTCTTCAGCTTTCCTTTTAATCACCTTCTGACAAGTTTAGAGTATTGTGGCATTAAACAGTCACCACAGGTTGTTCTATATATTATTTCAAGAACAATTTTCATTCAGAGTAATATCAAATAGACTGAAATGATGCATTCCCCCTTGGTTGAAATGGATGTTAGTTTGTGATCGTGGAATTCAAGTCTGAGCTTTTTTCTCCAGCATTTTAAAAATTTAATGTCAGTCAGAATAATCTTCTAAATAATTGAAGTTTTAAATGCTGTTTTATTCATTTGCATTTTGTTATTCTATTACACTTCTTTTAAACTTTAATATTGTGTTTTCCCTTATCTGATAAGAAAAATTGGGATTCTTTTAATAAATCCTTTTTTGAAATTTTTAAAATGATTTTTTCTTAAAATCTTGCCTTTAACTATGATTTTAAATATTTCATTTTCATTTTAGAAGAAGAATCCTGTTTCAAAATCGTCATATTTTTATCATCATGCACGTTCTCAGATAGATATCGATAGAGCTGCACTAAAGTGTAAACTACAACCTATTGCTAGATCAGAAGGAATGAAGTCACTAGTTGAAAATAAGGCTCTGTTACCTCATAATCCATCACGAGTCATAAATGTTTATCCAGGTGAGCTACTCAGAATGAAGACTGTAATTTAATTTTCATTTATTTAATGTAGAATTCTGATTGTATATTTTATAGTTTTAATTCAACTTGATTTTACTTGTGAAAAGCTGTCTTTATATAAGTGCTTAGTGCTGTCTAAAAAACTGGACATGTAATCGACATTGTAGCTTCTTAAGATTTATTACATTACAGCTTTTACAGAATTTAAAAAAAATTGTGGAATTCATTTTGCAGCTGCAAGCTTAGTAAGTCAGAAAGTTTTTTCAAGGAGAAAAATACATTCTGCATCATAATAATCAGCAGTGACTTTTCATATTAGCACTAATCTCGTGGAATTGGATTTAAAACTGTAATTGTTTGCTTTATAATGGGCCAATCAGAGGCGATGTAATGCAAGTAAGAGTTCCACTGAAGCACTCGCAGGCTGATTTCAGTGGATGATATGATGAGAATATAGTGAAGGTAACTAACTGTAAGACTTTGTAGTAGCTGGGAATTAATATTTTAAGTTTGATGAGGAGCTCTTTCTGTAGAACATAATGTATTAGCTGGGCACTAGATTTTGGGTTTGACCTTGGAGCTCATACTGAATTTTAATCTCCAAAACTCTCTAGTGCTCCTGAGCAGGCTCCTGTGCAGTGTAGTGATTTGTCTATATCACTGTAGATTTCTCTCTGGATTTCAGATTGAGATTTGTGCTGACAGATTGAAGGTGTCTTTCAGATGTAACTAAATTTCACAGGAAAATTCAGTTGGCTGACTTCATAGCAGTGAGATTGTTAAAACCTCAAATTATACAGGAAACTGCAGTAGCATTCCAGAGTGTCAAGTTCTGCAATTGTTTTGACTGAAAAGTCTCAGTGCTGACAAATGAGCTTCAGCTACCAATGTTAAGGTTTTTAAAATCACTTCTCATCATTTCTGAGAGTGTCCCATCATATCCAGTGGGAGGGGGCTGAACAGTCTCTCTTCCTTTGCAGATATATTAGAAAATGTATGGGAAGCAGAACCACCTTTTATCCTTATGATATTTTCCTTCCAGTTAGGGAAGTATTTCAGAATTACATTTGAACAGAAACAGATCTAATGTACATTGATTGATTTTTACACTAATTTTGGACTACATTAATTTTTATTTTGGTATAAGTTTATGTGCTCCAAGATTGCCTGGATATAATAAATATTAGCCCCCCCCCACTTGAACAAGTACGTGTGGCCATGAGCTTGAGAAAGAGGTTTTAAACAATTTTTTGTGATCTGTTCAGAAGGAGAGGTTTCATTTATCATGTTCTCTTGTACCCAGCTGGTGTTGAATAGAGTCCCTTACTTTTTCCAGATATGTAGGAAAATGTATGGAATGTAGATACTTCCATGACGAATGGAAGTGAGAGACAAGTGAATGAAAGTGAGAGACATTCATTTGAACTTGCTGAATTTTGCAGTAATAGGTATTTTGACTCGCTTGTGTTTAAATGATACCGAACAATTGCTGTTGTAATAAATAAAATGAACTATCTAAAGTTTTCATATTATGGCTTTTATCCTGTCAGAACAGATTTTCCATCATGCCATTATTTAAGTGTAGCAATATGTAGCTTTTTTTTTTTGTTAATTCTATCAAGTTTTTTTTAAATTTTTTTTAAAATTTTTTCTTATTGTATTATAAAACCCATAAAAGTAGAACTTTCCTTGATAGTAAGCCATTATGCACTCTGTTGTACCATATTTCCCCTCTTTTTACTAATTTTATTCTCAAGGAAAATTTTGTGAATAATTTAGTTCCCAAAGGATGCAGATACGGGAAAACAAAAATGAAAAGTTGTCATGAATAAACTACAGGTAACTGTCACAATATTATTTATTTTATAAAATCTACATTCCAATAAGCATACATTGTAATATTAACATTACAATATCTAATAACATATCTTCTCTACTCTGCTACTTCTTAGGTCTCAAATTATCCGTAAACAATGAGAGAAGGTGATTATACAGCTGACTCAGCAAAGTCATAAGCTGAATGTCAGTTTGTGTTTGCTTCACTGTAATTGGTTGGCTCTTGTGTTAGGCTGGCATAAAGTTCAACAGTTAGAAAGGAAAGGTTTTGTGTGACCTTTGCAAGTAGTTTGTGAGGGTAACAATCATTACAAATCTATTTTAAAATTTAGGGATACTCATTCTCTGAATGCACTGGGGAAAAGAAAATTACACAAATATTTTTTAAATTTTCAGAACCTGGTGTCAAAATGCTAGGAAGAAAAATATGTGAAGATATGCAGTAATTATTGACCACAATCTGTTTTAAGGTAATTGCTTTCTCTGTCAAACTGAATTACAGTAGGATTTCAGTTTATGTAATATAACTAAATGTATAGAATTTATTGAATATTTCAAAACCCAATTTTTTTATGAAAATAAAAGTATATAGCAGTTAATTCAAGATTAAAAACTGAACTTATCATTTTCAATATTCTTAATTGATGTATAAAAATTAGGTTGTGGTGATATAAACATTCATAATAGAATTGTTTTGAGTGTAGTGACATTACTAAAACAAGAATATGGCATTGATAAAAGTAAACGATCAACATGTACTCTGAAATTAGAACTGTAGTGTCGATTTATAAGTACTTATGCTTGTCAGGTTTTGGAAGTTTAGCAAGATTCTAATTATGGTTCAGCAAAAGTATTGCATTAATGTGAGTGATAAATTTTACCATAAACCTGCAGTTCTGAAACTATGATTTATGCATCATTTGGAGTAATGAGCACCCATCAAGAAATATATATGAGGAATTCCCATTAGACAATTATTTCAAACTTGCTTTCCTTTAAATTGGGGGGGGGGGAGGAAGATAGTTTGCCAGACTGGTGTATCTGTTCATCTTTCTGTTATTCTTTGTTTTATTTATTTGTAAAATTATTAGTGTATCTGCTTTATGCTCATGAGAATTCTCTCTAGAAACAGAATGGTAAATATTCTCTGTAACTGTCATAGGGCATATGGTCTACTTAGTGCCTGCATTTTCTGGTAGGTGGATTTTTCAATTATTGGAATTGAAAGTTTTTTGATTTTAAAGTATTCCATGTTTTGATACTTATTGTTCCAAGTTCCATACTTACTACACAGAGTCAAATCAACAGCTGATTATGTGAATAACTGTTTCATGAGGGGCGTCATTGTTATAGATCCACAAAATATTGAAACAAATGGGTAAAGTATTCTCTTGTTGGCTGTTACAATAAAGGGTGCTTATGTCAGCTCTGCACTAGCCATAGAAATGTCTTCGTATGCTTCTCTCACCAAGCTTAAGGCAGCCCACTGGCAGTCGAGATAAAGTCACTGAATATGGTAATTTTATTTGAACTTAAGTCTTTCAGTGAACTGCATGGGAGTTTTTGATTATCCTATTGTGTGATATGCACATGAACTGGTTTTCCAGAGAAAGACCTCCACAAAGACAGCTCTTCCCTTAGGCATATAGTCAAGTGCTTTGTCATAATTTAAATGATCCAATTTAGTGCTTCATGAGTTTGAATGAGAAATGGGGGTGAAATATACAAAGTGATTATCTAAAGGAAAAAACACTTTGAATGTCACATGGTAGGATCAAGTGAATGAAAATATTGTTGGTAATGATTTTGTTTGTTCTAATAAAATTTTCCTGATGGACTGTGATCTATTTTAATCCGATGAACCATAATTTATCCAAAGTAAGCTTTTTATAGTTTCTCAGATTCAGAAACATTTATTGATGTAAAACTCCAGTTGCAAAAAATGCTGAACAGTCTGGAGTAGTCATACTGAATGGATGAACAAAGTGGTTATGCACATTCAGTTATTGAGAGTAGAGATACAGTGCTGTTTGAGCAAAACTGATGCCACCAGTAAGTTCTGGTAAAAATTGTCTGATGTAAAATGTCATATTTTAAGGTTGGACATCTGCTGATTTTGTATGAGCATAATATATTTTTTCATGTGAAAATGTAGAGTTTTGAACTGAATGAGTGTCATTTGCTGATAGCTTTTGATTTACTATTTTCATTTGAAGAAATCTACAACTGAAGCACATCGGTTGTTTGTAGAAGCATATGGTGAGGCTGTTCAAATGAGAGAAGCTGTGAGTATTTTCAGAAGTTTAAGAAATGTGAATTTGAAGACAATGTAGCAGAAGGATGAAAGTTTATGAAGATATGGAATTGGAAGCCTTATTGTATGAAGATCCATGCCAAAGGCAAGTAGAATTTGCACTTACCTTAGGGGTGACTCAACAAGCAATTTCACATCATTTAATATCATCGGGAATGATTCAAAAGCAAGGAAATTAGGCTTTATGTGAAATGAAGCTGAAACGTTGAATGCTGATTTTTTACATGTGAAATGCTGCTTGTCAGGCATAATTGAAAAGTTTTTTTGCATTGTATAGTCATTGATGATGAAACATGGATCTACTATGATGACCCAAAGAAGAAGAAATAATGGGAACCACCTGGCCTGGTCACTGTTGACAGCTAAGCTGTATATTCATGGGAAACAAAAATCGTGTATGTGTTAGGATGAACTTGTATTATCAGTATTACAAGTTGCTCAAGCAAAACGAAACCTTTGGTGGTGCTCTACCAAACACAACTGATGAGACTGAGCCGAACACTGAAAGAAAAATGCACCCACTTCTACTGCGGGCATGATAACGCTTATCCACGTGTTATGGTGTCAGTCAAAACGTACTCAGAAACACTAAGATGAGAAGTTTCCCCCCTCTCACTGTAATTACCAGGCATTGCTTCTTCTGATTATTACTTGTTTCAACTGATAATGCATTGAGTGTCTGAGCAACCCTTTGAATCATATGAAGATACCAAAAATTAGGTTGATTTGTGGATAGCCTCGAAAGATGAAGCGTTCTCCTGACATGATACCTGTATGCTGACAGAAAGATGGAGAAAAGTAGTGGCTAGCAATGGATTACACTTTGAATAAAACTTGGCATACTGTTCTT